AAAGAGTTAAAAATAAATGAGCTTACGCACGTCCTAAACTTTCATCCGGGCTGATTTGTAAGACACACGACTATAATCCACGTCCTCGAGGCAGATACGACTGTCATCAATGACTTGCCAAATAACAGGCAAACGTGATAGTATTGCTGGTAAAAAAGGAGACTGGAATGGCCCTTTCTGGCTTATTAACGGTCGTCAGCCAATCATACCCAGACCTAAGTGGTGTCCCACACGAACTGCGAACTCGTAACCTTTTTGATCAGAGTCGAACGCCCTAACCAATGAGCCACGAGCTCGTTGTGTCGCCACTTTAGGTCAGAAGATATTGACGCTCCTTGACGAACGTGCATCTGGTCCCTAACGGAACTCATGTGTACCGCTGTGCCTTAGACATACTACCAGCTGCTACGGCTGTCAGAGCCTCCGTCGAGGCGCAAGCCAGAGCGGGCGGATGAGTTCCGTTAGCGGTCAGGTGAGCGTTCATCAACGAGGTAAACGTAGTCTTAAAGGCGGCACTAGAGAGCCGTTCGTAGATAGTGTTTAAGGTAAATGCAAATTAATGAAAGAGTACCGATTTTGACCCTTGGACCCAGTATTATGGCATGGTTAACTTTCGAGGTAAAAAAGCGCAAAATCTCCGCTCCAGTGTATGCCGAATGATTGGTCACTCCCTAAACTGTATTACCCACCCACCTCTCCGTTTCTTTTCTCAATGATTGCGTTACGTGTTTCATCGATTTCTTCCAAAGATGGCCGGATGGATAAATTCCATCTTTGCAAGGAAAATGTTGGTTTAGGGTTGGGTGATTGTTTCTGATAATATGCTTCCCTGACCAAATAAAATTAACGATGAGCTCTCCCCAGCAAGTTCTGGTATTATTTTTACTCAGCATGTCGGCTACAGCACTGTGACCTCATAGTCCTTACGATCGAATTTTTATATTCCAAGAAATGTCACAGGGAATCCGGAAAATTTGATGCTGTTTCTCGGGGTGATACTTCAACAAACTTCCTAAAAAACACGCATGTACATGAAGGTATACACTGACATTGTGAAGTTGGTGGGCAGACAATTGTGAGCCTTGTGTTTCCCGTGAAGTTTCGCACTATCCACAAATGTAAACTAGCCGACATCTGCCTTTTCACGTCTATGAGTAACATTAGTCTGCAGTTTATTAGACAGTGCTGATTATTTAGAAGTCAGCCATAGTTGAAGTCGCCTCGAGTGTTCCGTACTTTATTTTATCCCTAGCTGAGACGAGTTTACCGCTATGCAAAATCCTATAAAAAGTCTTCGGCAAAATATGCATTTCGGAGTTCCACAAACTGCCTAGGCTGTTGCTGATCGACAAGTAAAGAATTTAGAAGTCTTCGAGATATCTCCGGTGAACTTTTCTCATTTAACCTTTTTCCGCTTTGGATTATAATAACGCTTACCCACGGGTAGCCTTTCGTAGGTGGCTCACCGCTCGTCGTCATCAAGAGGTAAGAAAATAAATGTTGGTGAAACTTCAACGTTTTGGCTACATACTTCAGCACACAGGGGTGACCGCACTCACTCTCGTCTTTTATAAGCACACCTTGAACTACCATAAAGGCATAGTTTGCACTCTTATTTGTTTCTAGCGCATACTTTTTCTTCTATTATGTTGACCCGTGGATTTTTTTATTTAGTTGGAGGAATTACTATCCCAGAAAGGCACCGAGGTAGACCAGTATGCCGAGCGGGTCGCACAATTGGAACTCAACCTTTCTAATATCCTCGCCGATCGTGATCGCAAGCTGGGTGAATTGCAGGCAGCCGTCGGCAGTCATGGATCTTCGGAAGACATAGCTCAGAGCATAACAACTCTACGACGGCAATAGTAAGTACGACTTCTCTATTTAGAATCTGTAGCAATTGGTGAAAATCGCCACTCTTCCAAATGCATGGTGGTGGTTTGCACAGGATGTCCTGTGCACTTTTGAGGCAGAGTACGAAAACTAAGGGACTGTTTCCTGTGTGTGTGTATGTGTGTGTGTGTGTGTCCCTCTCAGGAGGGTGTTGGCCCAGGCTTAATGCA